TGGGCCTGTTGTGAAGCTCTCTGTTCGGCAACAAAACGGTTGAGGGGTGTGCCAAAATTGGTGCGGTGGGTGCATGCGAGCGCTGGCATGTGGGCCTCCCACGAAGCGTGTGAGGGGTGTGGCCAAATGGGTACGGCGGGCGCATGCGAACGCTGTCATTTGGGCCTTCGGTGGAGCTCCCCATAGGGCCACACAACATGTGAGGAGTGTGCCAAAATTGATGCGGGGGGCGAATGCGAGCGCTGGCATCTGGGCCTGTTGTGGAGCTCCCTATTGGGCCACAAAACGTGTGAGGGTTGTGCCAAAATGGGAGCGGTGGGCGCATGCGAGCGCTGGCATGTGGGCCTTCGCTGGGGCTCCCCATGGGGCCACAAAGCGTGTCCCAAATGGGTGCGGTGGGCGCATGCGAGAGCTGGCATGTGGGCCTTCGGTAGGGCTTCTTATGGGGCCACGAAGCGTGTGAGGGGCATGCCGAAATGGATGCGGTGGGCGCATGCGAGCGCTGGCATGTGGGCCTTCGGTGGAGCTCTCTTTGGGGCCACTGAGGGATATGCCCCAATTGGTGCGGTGGGCGAATGTGGAGCTCCCTATGGGGGCACAACACGTGTGAGGGGTGTGCCAAAATGGGAGCGGTGGGCGTATGCGAACGCTGGCATCTGTGCCTGTGGTGGAGCTCCCTATGGGGCCACAAAACGTGTGAGGGGTGTGCCAAAATGGGTGCGATGGGAGCATGCGAGAGCTGGCATGTGGGCCTTCGGTTGGGACTCCCTACGGGGCTACGAAGCGTGTGAGGGGTGTTCCAAAATGGGTGCGGTGGGCGCATGCGAGCGCTGGCATGTGGGCCTGCTGTGGAGCTCCATTTTGGGTAACAAAACGTGTGAGTGGTATGCCAAAATTGGTGCGGTGGGCGCATGCGAGCGCCGGCATCTGGGCCTTCGGCGGAGCTCCCCATGGGGCCACGAAGCGTGTGAGTACAGTCGGACCCAGGCCAGAATAACATCCTGGAAGAACATGAGACCCTCCGTCGGCCAAGAACAGACAGAACATCCAAGGGCCCCCTCCCCTGGATGCACAAGAACATCCACCATTGACGAAGAACACTAGGGTATCCTCTCTGGACCAACATCGATCTTGTACCTTGGTCCGGCTGCAAGTTCGTGCCGTATCGACCCCAGCGCTGCTCTCAGATACCACGTGGATCGCTCGACCTTGAACGGTCGGGGGCTTCTCGATCGCCAGATTGGTCCCTACTGGCCGATCTAAGGGCCACTGGCGGCGCGCAACAACCTTGAACGCCCCCGTCGGGGCCGGCGCCGCGTGGACACGACACGCACCTGCCGCACTTTGCTTCTTTGCAAGAAGAAAAGACAACGTAAACATGAACTTTCGGAGGTCCGCGCGGATTTCTTGGATCGGCGCTGGGTGCCCTTCCCTGGCGCGCTCCGCGCGTCAGGATCGGCGCCAGAGGCGCCGACAAGGGGTCCAGCGCCGATCCAAGAAATCCGCGCGGAACTCCGACAACCTATGCTGATGATCTTTTTCTTCTTCGAATTTTAGGTTCTTCTCCTTTGACCTCGGGCTCCTTTGTCGGCGCGTGCCCTGCGCTGCCTCCAGCCTTCGGACGCCCGGAACGGGTACAGAAACATATGGGTACGATGCCCAACAACACATGCTGTCCAATACTGACAGCGGCCGTTGTTGGGCAGGCGGCCTTCTGTCTCAAGTGGACAGCCTCCGCGGCGGCACTGACAGCAAACCCTGTTCATAATCAGCCGCGAGCTTCTCCCTACCCCTACGGTTGACAATCCCAAATGCGATGACAATCTTAAGAATGCGCCCTCAGAAGCTCAAGGAATCCTTACGATCGGCATCGAGATAAGGTGAAGCCACCCATAGGAACAGGGACATGTTCCAGGCTGGCAAATTCAAAATGAGCAGAAGCTGCTGTCGCAGACGCCTCCTAGATGGGGTCGGAATAGATGGGATTGGAGGATCGCGCCGCATTGGCGATGCATCGCCCATGGATGCGCCGGCGACATCGGCAATACATCGGCAACGTCGGCGTAGAGAAAACCGGGCTCCACATCGAGCTGCATCGCCGATGTATCGGCGATGCATCGGTGATGCGGCGAGATCCTCCGACCCCATCTGCTCCGACCCCATCTTGGAATCCTAGATGTCAGTCTTCGTGATCACCCACCCTTTCCGTGCCCATTTCGATCCTACCGATTCGGCTACACGCAAGAGTGACCCTGGGCAAAGGAGTGACCTTTGGTGCGCGGCTCAACGGGGGGACGCCCGGAAACCAAATGCAATCGCGAAAGACGCTGCGACCGCTAGGCGATCGGCGATCGGGGGACCCCGTTGGGCCCGCACCAAAGGTCACCCTGGCAAAGGGTTAGATCCTCTGGCCATCGCTCGGACGTCCGTTCCCTGTGCATTTTTCGGTTTCGTGCGTTTCTTTTTCCGTACGGTGAGCAGAAATGCTCCTCGATAGTCACACCCGAGAAAAACGCACACGTCCGAGCGATGCCAGGTCCTACCGATCCTCCCAAGGGAACAGACAGTGATATAAACATAACAACCCGGAGGTCCGCGCAGACTTTTCGGATCGGCGCTGGACACCCCGCCTCGCTGGCGCGCGGAGCGCGCTGGGGGGCGGCGCCGGAGGCGGCGCCAAGGGTCCCCCGAGCCGATCCGAGGCACTCGCACGGACCTCCGAGTTTTTATGTCTATGCCACTTTTTGTTCCCCTAGCAAGAAATAGTCCGGGGACTATGTTTTTTGGTATTTTTGACCTTTTCGGAATATGTTTGGGGTATCTTTTATTTTCCGTCGAAAATCCCCGTTTTTATCTTTTATTTTCGGGGTGTGTTTTTGTGTTTATGCCATTGTCTGTTCCCCGACCTCTGCCGCCGCGTGCCCCGTGCTGCACGCGGGTCCGCTGCACGCAGGTCGGGGGTTGCGACAGATACCCCTGGCCCAGAGTGCCCCCAGCTCTCGCCATCGCTCGGACGTCCATTCCCTGTGTTTTTGTCGGTTTCGTGCGTGGCTTTTTCGCCAAATGATCAAGGATGCTCCTCGATGGCCCTCGCCGAAGGAAAAATGCACACGTCCGAGCGATGCCAGGAGCTTTTCGCTCCATTGTAAAGCCCCGGCGCCCTCTGGGCCTCGTGGGGGGTGCTCCTGGAAGCCGTGGGGGCCTCCTTGGAAATCCTCGGAGGCACCTTGGGACAGGGGCACTTCTAGCGACATCCGACCGTGCTTCCAGATCATCCGACCCCATCTGCTCCGACCCCATCTGTGAGGCCTAGCTGTCGGTCTTCGTGATCACCCAACCCCATCCGCGCCCACGTCGGATTCGAATCGGGGATCGACTACAGACTTGATTTACCCAAACACTGATTGGTTCGTCAAATTTGTTGAGCATCTGCGCAATCTGCGCAGATTCTACATATCTGTTTGCAGACTCGACGAATTAATCAATTCTGGGGTCAATCAATCCAATCCTGTAGTCGATCCCCTACTCGACCGATCCTCTGCCGCCGCGTGCCCTGTGCTTCGAATAGGGGGTCGATCACATACTTGATTTACCCCAGAACTTATTTTCTCGTCGAGTCATACGTAGACTGTTCGTAGATGTACGGAACTTCTACGCGTTTTTTGATGGATTCGACGAACATCTCGACTTTGGGGTAAATCAATTCTGTAGTCGATCCTCTACTCCGACCCCATCTGGGAAGCCTAGATGTCGGTCTTCGTGATCACCCACCCCTTCCGTGCCCACTTCGATCCTGCCGATCCTAGACAAGCGCGTTCCACTATTCGCAGAGTGACTGCTCGCACACAGCCTGGACCCGCCGCGGGGGAGTCACGATCCCTTACATAGAGGCGGACAACTGTGTGTGTGTGTGTTCTGGACGCTTGCGAATCGGCACTTGGCGAGTCGTGGAACGCGCTCGGTGAGACCCTCGGCCGCCGCGTGCCCCGTGCTCCCCCGGCCTGCCGCTGCAGCCAGGCCTCGTGCCGGGCCCGGCGCAGGTCCTCCAGCGGCGAGCCCCCCCTGGGCGCGTGCGCGGGCGCGGCCTTCGCCTCCCCGGCGGGCGGCGGCGCCTGCCTGCCCGCGGCGGGCTCGGGCTGTGCCACGTGGAGCAGCTGCGGCTCCTCGCTCGTCGCCCAGCCTTCGAGCAGGGGATCGGCCACACGATGGACCGCCCCAGAATTTGGAGGTCGCTGGGGGGACAGCGTGCTAGCCGCCCCACGCCGCGCGGCCGCCCCCGCCCGCTCCCGGGATGCTCTGCCTCGGGCGCTCGCAGGAGCAGCGCCCCCGCGCCGAGGGCGGCCGCCGCCACCCGCGCGGCCCGCGGCCCACAGCGCCAGTTTTTTTTTTTTTTTTTTTTTGTTGTGTGTGTTTTTGTTTTGTTTGCCCAGACAAAACACCTTGACGACACAACCCGAAGGAAGGTGCCCAAGGTGCCTGCGTGAATCCACAAGCAGTCGGACCTCGCAACATGAATGATGGCAGCGCAGACGCGCCCCGGGCGTCTCATCTGCATTTGGAAGTCGCTGGGGGGACAACGTCGTTTCCAAGGCCAAGGCTCAATGCGCCCGGCCGGCACGCCCGATCCGTGAAGAGCCACCCTTACGACGCCCGTGCGAAGGGGAGCTCGAATCTGAGGCTTGCTCTCACCGACGCTTCGGCTGCCTGGGCTTGCTCTTGCGCTGGGGGCATGGCCCCTTCATCCGTCGCCCCAGGACACACAGATCGTGCTCGCTGCCCCTCAGCGAGCTCCAATCCAGTCTTTTCTCTTGGTCGAGTCTCATTATGGGAATGGCGTCGGACCCTCGTAGATCCACGAACGCTGTGCCCATTTCGTTGTAGATGCGACGCGCGAACCTGAGTTTTTGGGTGAACCAATTCTGTAGTCGATCCCCTGCTCCAAGCCTCCGGCGCTGTCGAGCACCAGGAAGGAGCCGTCGTCGCCCATGAGCGCCACCACGCTCGGCGGCTCGAGGGTGGGGCCCCCGAGGGGTGGGGCCCTGAGGCTACGGCGGGGGCCTTGGGCAAGGAACCGTCCGAGGAGGAGTCCAGAGTCTAGGGGGCAAACAAACCTACCTCGCTTTTGACCACACTCGCTTCCAAGAGATACCAAGCAATGCCAAACTACGGCCTGTACTGGTCAGGCCGCTTGACGAGGAGGCGCGTGGTATGACTTGGTTTTGCCTGGAAGCGAAAGCGGGGTAGGTAATTCACGCTCTGAGAGTCTGGAGGCTGGGGGGGGGCTCCCATCGTGGAGTGGTCAGGTACATCGCCGCCGCTCTCCTCAGACAGGGGATCCTCCAGGCTCTGCAGCCTCCTGGGCAGATTCCGTGACAGACGCCCCCACCGTGGGAAGGGTATCCCTGAGATCTGGCGCCACGAAACACTTGCAACATCGCAGAAACAACAAGTCGATCGGAGTTCTGGGCGTAAGCATTCGGCTGTATTTTCGAGCCAAATCGATCTGTGAGTGTCCCGGGGCCCGAAACAATGCAAACTCGCCCGATGTAAACAATGCGGTGTCAATATCTTAGGGGCCCCGAGATGGACCTCCCCGCGATGCGCGACGCGAGATAATCTTCGCGTCATCGCGCCGCCCCACTTGCAGACTGGCAAACAGTCTGGCCCAGACTGCGACGCGCGAAACGCGATTATCTTCGTTGTCCCACAAGCGACCTACATCCCCTGAAAAAAGTAGTGCAATTTTGCAGGTCGTGTCCTGGTCCGAGCGGGTCCTTTCTTCCTCCTCTCGCGCTCCCTTCTCTCTTGGTTTCCGTGCCTCCGCTCGCCTCAGGAACACCCCACCGCTTGCTGACCGGCGCCTGACCGCCTTGGACCCCTTGGCGCCCGCGGACTCAAATTATCCTGGCGAAGGACCCAACCATATGCAGCTGTGAATACCGCAATTGTGGACATCTTCTTGGGTGGAGATCCCTATGGGCACGAAGCGCTGCACTGAGTGGGGGGGAAACGCATGCGGGCGGTAGCAATGGGGCCTTCGGTGGAGCTCCCTGTGGGGCCACGAAACGCTGTGCTTGGTGGAGGGGACGCATGCGGGCGGTACCACTGGGGCCTTCGGTGGACCTCACTATGGGGCCACGAAGCGCTGCACTGGGAGGGGGGGACGCATGCGGGCGGTGGCACTGGGGCCTTCGGTGGAGCACCCTGGGGCCACGAAACGTGTGAGGGGTGTGCCGCAATTGTTGTGTGTGGGGGACGCATGCGGGCGGTGGCACTGGGGCCTTCGGTTGAGCTCCCAATGGGGCCACGAAACGTGTGAGGGGTGTCCCGAAATGGGTGTGGGGGGCGCATGCGGGCGGTGGCACTGGGGCCTTAGGTGGTGATTTTAATGGGGCCACGGAACGTGTGACGGGTGTGCCGAAATGGGCGGGGGGGACGCATGCGGGCGGTGGCACTGGGGCCTTCGGTGGAGCTCCCTATGTGGCCACGGAACGTGTGAGGGGTGTGCCGAATTGTGTGTGGGAGGCGCATGCGGGCGGTGGCACTGGGGCCTTCGGTGGAGCTCCCTATGTGGCCACGAAACGTGTGAGGGGTGTGCCGAAGTGGGTGTGGGGGACGCATGCGGGCGGTGGCACTGGGGCCTTCGGTGGAGCTCCCAATGGGGCCACGAAACGTGTGAGGGGTGTGCCGAAATGTCTGTGGGGGACGCATGCGTGCGGTGGCACTGGGGCCTTCGGTGGAGCTCCCTATGAGGCCACAAAACGTGTGAGGGGTGTGCCGAAATAGGTGTGGGGGACGCATGCGGGCGGTGGCACTGGGGCCTTCCGTGGAGCTCCCTATGGGGCCACGAAGCGTGTGACGGGTGTGCCGAAATGGGTGTGGGGGACGCGTGCTGGCGGTGGCACTGGGGCCTTCGGTGGAGCTCCCAATGGGGTCACGAAGCGTGTGAGGGGTGTGCCGAAATGGGTGTGGGACGCATGCGGGCGGTGGCGCTGGGGCCTTCGGTGGAGCTCCCTATCCACGTGTGCCGAAATGGGTGTGGGGGACGCATGCGGGCGGTGGCACTGGGGCCTTCGGTGGAGCTCCCTGTGAGGCCACGAAACGTGTGAGGGGTGTGCCGAAATGAGCGGAGGACGAGGAGGAGGAGGAGGCGGAGGAGGAGGAGCAGGAGGAGGAACGCGTGGCGACGTCTCTTCAAAACGAGGACCCAACACCACAGGATGGTTGGGAAAAAGTTCCTCGAGCCACGGCAGGATTGGGTTGGGTTCAGGCCCTCCCAGAGAAAGTGCCAACGCGACAGCAAAAGCAGATCGACTTTTGAAGTAGAAGGGCGCCTCAAGTAGACTGGGATCTGGGAGTCCAGAAGTATCTGCTTTCAACAACCGACGAGTGGAAGTTCCTCTCGAGCCTCTGGTTGAGCAGGGTCCGACCGTCCTGGCATTTTTTGTAGACCCACCAGGAAGTCTTCTTAGAACCCCAAAATGCTAAGAACAAGCGCAGTGTTCTTAGAACAGAATTCCGATGTGTTCAAGCAAGACAGGTCTCAGTCAGAAGTGCTCTGAGAAAATTTCGGGCAGACCACAAAATGTTCTTAGAGCTTTCTTTGGTGGGCTTATATAGAGGCCTCCTTGATGGGGCCGCAGTAGTTGGGGTCGAAGGATCACGCCGCATCGCCAATGCATCGGCGATGCATCGGCGATGCGACGGCGATGCACCAGCGACGCGGGCGATGCGTCGGCGACGTCGGCGTGTAGCACATTGGGCTCCGCATCGAGCCGCATCGGCGATGCACCGGCGATGCGGCGCGGTCCTCCGACCCCATCTGCTCCGACCCCACCTGGGAGGCCCAGACGCCCGTCGAGCCGCCGACCTGGGCAAGAGCGACCCTGGGCAAGGGCGACCTTTACTGCGCGGCTCCACGGGGGACGCGGGGTGGCCAAAGCTGGGCGCGCAGGCCGCTGCTGCCGCTTCGCGCTCAGCGATCGGCGGAGCCCCTCGGGCCCGCACTCGAGGTCGCTCCGGCGAAAGGTCACTCCTGCGTGCAGCCGACTGTAGGGGAACAAAAAGTGGCATAAACATAAAAACTCGGAGGTCTGCGCGGATGTCTCGGATCGGCGCTGGACCCCCCTCCCTGGCGCGCGGAGCGCGCCAGGGGCGGCGCCGGAGGCGCCGCCGGGGGGCCCCAGCGCCGATCCGAGAAGTCCGAGAAGTTATGCCACTTTTTGTTCCCCTAGCAAAAAATAGTCCGGGGACTATTTTTTGGATATTTTTTTCAACCTTTTGGGCATATTTTTTTTTTGTTTTTGTTTTTTTTCAACGAAGATCCCTGTAGGGGGACACGCCCGACATAAGACTGGCCCCCCCCTCCGTCGAGCCGCCGACCTGTCCTGGTGCCCAGGCCGCTCCTCTGGCAGCGCCAGGCAGCGCAGGGGGCCCCCCCGCGGCGCGCCCTTCGGCCCGGGCAGGCCCGGGCCGTGGAGCGCAAAGGCGCCCTCGCCGCAGTCCTCCAGGAGGAGCGGCCGGCGTCGTACGTCGTACAGGGCAGGTTTTAATACATAGGATCTTTCAACATATAGGATTTTAAGACATGACTAATTTAAGAATAATTTTATGCATGAACTCATCGTTGTTTTCAGTACTAAATCCCTGCATTTTCAATACATGATCCGCACGCGGAGCATGTATTAAAAACGGCACTGTACGTCGTCGTCGACGTCGCACGTCGCACGTCGCGCGTCGCAGGTCGCAGGTCGCAGGTCGCAGGTCGCACGTCGTCGTCGTCGTCGTCCTCCAGGAGCAGCGGCCGGCTGGCGGCGGAGCCGCCCGGGACGGCGAAGGTCACGCTGGCCCCTGCTCAGAGGAGCCAGGCCCTGAGATCCCGGAACGGTCGACTTTGCGGACGCCGGGGCCATTTTCAAAGCGGCGTTTCGCGACGCCTGCTGTTCGGCGGAGCCGATTGGCAGCTTGCTCGCTCGGTCTCGTGCCCAGCCGCGCGCGCTGACGCCCGCGTAGGAGCGGCGCCGTCAGCAAGGCGCGTCTTCAGTGGCAGCACTCGGCGAGAGCGGCACATGTTTTTTTTTTTTTGTTGTTGTTTTTTCGATCTGGGCGGTTTCGCCAAACTTCGGGCCCCGGGGCCCTCACAGATCGACCCAGCTCGAAAAGTGTTGCAGGAAGATAGGGTCAAGGAATCTCAGTGTTATTTTTTCGTGCCGTCGGATCTCAGGGGAGGTTCTGACAAAGACACGTTCCAAGATCTCCAATGCTTCCAATATCCCCAGGATTTCCCAACGTTCCACGCGGGCTGCAGGAGCGAGGGCAGCTATATACTTCTCGGACATCCTGGGACGTATCCAGGCCCAATCTTATCATGACATTCTTCTCGTCCTACCTGTGGCTGCTGCGGCCTGCATGGCTGCGGCCATGGCTACCACGCCCAGGGCAAGGAAAAAACAGGAGGGTGCGGTGGAGGTGGAGGCGAGGAGGACGAGGACCAGGAGGACGAGGAGGACGAGGACGAGGAGGACGAGGAGGAGGCGGAGGAGGAGGAGGAGGTGGAGGAGGAGGAGCAGGAGGAGGAGGAGGAGCAGGAGGAGGAGGAGGACCAATGTAAACCCAAGAGTCACCAACGATTTTGGAATCAACACTCCTGCCAAGCTCCCTCTTCATAGGCCCCTGCAACGGTTCAACTGTCTCGTTGGAAGACATTCTTCTTGGGATTTCAACGCCACGGATCAACCTGACTGTTGCGACTTGACGATCCATTCCAGAGACTTCAGCACCGCGAATCAACGTAACTGCTGAGCCCGCGTAATCCTGAATCCATCCAAAGCACTATTTCTGGTATGTTAATCATGGGAGTCCGTGAAACTCTTGCACATGTAATAAGCGAATGTGCGCGGCGCGAGAGCCACATTTTGAAAAGGAGCCACCCTCAATCCGTAAAACTCAAGCAATTGTTAAAAGCGGATGTGCGCGGCGCTAAGGCGAGAGCCGAATTTTG